AATAAAAAGTTCCATACCCTGAAGTACCACATCAGCGACAGAATCCGCAACAACGTTGGGATCGTCCGGCGAGAAGCAAACCCGCCCCCAAGGGTAGGATGCAAAGAAAGACCGCATCCCATCCCAATCGGCTGACCTATTGTGCCAAACACGGCGGCAGCTTGCAGAATGCGACTGCGATTTCAGCGTGAGTAGCACCTCACTCCGGATAAGACAATGGTCCGAGGAGCCTAAAGGGGCTTCGACGGAAATCTGATATCCGTCCGGGTGAGAGGTCAGCAGAAGATCCAACAGGGACGGTGCATGATCCTCCACATCTGGAATCCGCGTAGGCGAAGTAACCAGTTGTGTCAGACCATATGCCAAGGCAAAATCATGAACAGATCTCCCCGCATGATCGGTTAAACGTGAACCAAGCAATCTATGTTTCAATTTCAAACATAAACGTCAGTTTCTCTATCATTCTCCATCTAGTCTGTGCATAATGGTTGTTCTTTCGGTAGGAGCGGGCGATATAAATCGTATATAGATACAATATCTATTTATCAGTACAATTGTCAATATCAATATATCGGACGACAAACCAACTATATATTATATATTACAATATCGCTGCCGCGGCAATACAGTCGGCGGTGTCTGAATCACAGAATATCTAACATCTACTCGAAACGAAAATGCTAAAAGTCTAAATTTGATTCGAATACCGAACAAACCGTAGTACTGTTATTTATTCTGTGCCGTGAGCGCGATAGAATATATAGGTAAAACCGTAAACAGAGAATAAAACCTTTAAACTGATATTACGACTACTTCACAACTAAAAGGTGATACGCTTATATACGCCTAACATAATTAATATTAATTCTTATTAGTAGTAACATACGATTTATTACAGAACACAATATCCAGTCTAAGTAGTATTTTATTAACATTTAGTTGTATTGCACTGTTTTCGAAATAAACGACTTTAGATCTTATTGTGTATTTAAAAGAATGTTATTTTTAATCCAATTAATTTTAAATATTTGTAACATAAGCTGAAAATTAAGTTGAAACCGACGTTGAAATATTCATGTACCTATTTGCTCTTGTGCTTTGGGTTTCAACAAAAAAAGGCTCTAGTGTTCGTTTTCAGTTTCGTTCACATGCAACGTGAATTGCGTAGCGTAATTTGAATGCAGATGACATATTTTATGCAATTTCTCTGCTCACTTTCGTTTGTAATTCGGTTTCGAAATTTTAATTTTAATTTGATAATTTTTTTCGTTTTATGACAGTTTTTTTAAGTTGAAACTGTTTTTGTGTATAAAAAGTAGTGCAACATAAAATATTATATAGATGCGTATATATTAGGTATAAAGTTGTTCAAAACGACTATAAATCAATAGCACGCTACAGACTTTAAACCAAAAATTTCTAGCGCGCTATTAAATACGCAATGTTATAGCGCGCTATTTATAAAAAAGTGTGTAGGAGGCCGGCAAGCGCGTTAAGTTTATTAGCAGCACGCTATATCTCGGAGCTACATTACATGTCGTTCATCGGATAGACCGCGTGTTATATAAGAACATTGTTTCGAAATAAGTCGCATTTTAGAATAAAATAAAATAAAGTGGTAAAGAAAAATTAAAGAACGCTTTTTCATACTTTACAAAATTTTTAAAATCCTAAAAATATTTTTAAGGACTGTACTTTTTAAAACAAAATAAAATCAATCATTTTTTATTATAATTGATGTAAACGTTATTTTAACCTTATTATAAATTATAAATAAAAGTTATATTCAAAAGTTTATTAATTGTATATACAAAAATCAACTATTTACAAACACTATTATATACACTTTTGTATCTATATTTTATTTACATTTAAAAACATTAGTTAGGCTTTTTTTTGTAGCAGACAACTGTGTCCTCCGATTACTTATAAATATACAGTATATACTAACTAAATAACGTCTAACACTAAATTAGTCCGTGCTTCGCGCGCGATGAATAGCGTGCTGCTAGATTAAATTTTCATCACACGTCTACTCCCAACAGCGCTGCTGCTAGAACTAATTGCCGCTTGATATGAATAGCCGCAAAAGCGTCATAGCGCCATGACGACTACTTACATAGCAGGCGCTATGCGTTATGAAGAGATAGCGCGCTATAATATGACGCTATGCACTATATGAACCACCATTAATTAGGTAGATACTGTACATTAATTAACTGTAAATTAAACAAATTAATTCAAGGTTAGTGTTTGACATTCATCATCATCATCATGATCATTATCATCATCATCATCATTACAGCCCTTTAGAAGTCCACTGCTGAACATTGGCCTCCCCAAAGGTATGCCACAAAGCACGGTCCTGAGCCACCTGCATCCATCGACTTCCTGCATGTCTTACCAGGTCATCACTCCACCTAGTAAGGGGTCGCCCTACACTTCGCCTACCGGTAAGAGGCTGCCACTCGAGAACCTTTTTTCTCCAACGGTTGTCGGTTCTTCGAGCTATATGGCCGGCCCATTGCCACATCAGCTTACTAATCCGTTGGGCTATGTCGGTTACTCTGATTCCACTGCGAATATCCTCATTTCTAAGTTTATCACGCAGAGAAACTCCAACATAGCCCTCTCCATAGCTCGCTGAGCGACTTTGAGCGTCCTCATATGGCCAGCAGTGAAGGACCACGTCTCGGTTCTGTGGTTCCGTGGCAACATGCACTGGATGTATAACTTAGTTTTCAGGTTTTGAGGTATACCTGACGAGAAGATATGTCGTTATTTTCTCGAACGCTGCCCAGCCGAGTTGAATCCGTTGATTGACCTCTCGGTCGAAGTTGGACTTACCTAGTCGAACTATTTGTCCCAAGTAAACGTACACGTCAACAACTTCGAGCTTAGTGCTCCCAACAACTACCAGCATAGGTGTGACATGGACATTAAACATGATCTTTGTTTTGTCCACGTTCATCTTAAGACCTATCCGTTGGGAGGCATTATTGTCTCATAGTCCACATACGCCAGGCAAAGTGGCAGATTGTACTCTTCGGTCCTCTGTACAATCTGCCGCAGGGTGTGTATATTGTCTATGGTACTGAAGCCTTTTCGGAAACCGGCTTGTTCGGCAGGCTGGAAGTTGTCGAGTCTGCGTGCGAGACGATTCGTAATGACTCTCGAAAACAGCACGTAGACACGGCTCAGAAGGGATATCGGTCTGTAGTTCTTCAAGAGGGCGTGGTCACCTTTCTTGAAGAACAAAAACACCGCATTTTTGTTCCACGCCTCCGGAGTAGTGCCAACATGGAGGACGAAATTAAAGAACCTCTGAAGGACTTCAAGTACCTGTTTTCCACCCGATTTCAGCTCCGCTGTAATTCCATCCTCGCCCGGGGACTTTTTAAGGTGCTAGAGAGCCATTCTAATCTCGCTCAGACTGACGTACGGGATATCATCGGAATAATGTCAGATAAGACTTGCTCTTGGATCGTTACGCACACTTGCGTGTGGCTACAACAATGATGTTTACAGCTGCCCATAGAACCTCTCAATCTCACTCAGAATCTCAGGTATCCCGGAAATGATGCTGCCACACTCAGTCTTCGGCTTTGACAGTTGGCTCTTACTGGCAGACAGATCTCTGGCAAAGACTTTGGAGCCCTGGTTCCACTCGATCCCTTCTTCAATACGACCAGTATTAATGTGGCGTAAGTCTCGCCACATGCATTTGGAGATCTGTCTGTTCGGTTGCCTGTATGCTGTCAAATCTGTTGACGATTGCAGGCTCATCTCCCGTCTAACAGCCATGAGATTAAGAGCGTGATCGGAGAGTTTTTGTGTTCTTCTGCGGCGGGTCTTGCAGAACTTAGCTCCTACCGCATGGACAGTATCCACGAGCTTGTCATTCATATGGTCGACTGCATTGCAATCTTCTAGGCACTGAAAGCGGTTACGTAACTCTAGCTGAAAGGTTTCGGGATTCTGAATCAGAGCACGAGGGGGACGGAGCGTTGATTTCGTTAGAAAAGACCTCTCCAACTTAACGTTTAGGTTCAGTGTGTCTCTAACCATTCGGTGATCGCTGCCAGTTTTCACCCTTGCGATCACTGAGACATCACTGAACAGTTGGCGTCTGGTCGTCATAATGAAGTCAATCTTATTTCTTGACGAACCGTCGGGGCTCGACCGGGTCCACTTCCTGTGGGGCCGCTTCTGGAAGAAAGAGTTCATCATAAAGAGTCCCTCTTTCTCTATAAAGTCGGCCAGCTGCCGGCCCTACGGTTCCGTTGCGCTACTGCAAATTTCCCTAATTTCAGCTCACCGCTTTCTCTTGTGCCTAGTTTTGCGTTGAAGTCTCCCATCAACACCGTGTAGTGGGTTTTGGAGGAATGCATGGCTCTAGAATTATCCTCATAAATTTTCTCCACCTCCTCATCGGGATGTGCCGAGGTTGGTGCGTAAACCTGTATGACCTTCAGCGAATACCGTTTGGTGATTCTGAGTATCAGGTACGCGACCCTTGTCGACACACTCCCAATCTTTACAACTTTGTTGACGAGAGACTTGTGGACGATAAATCCGACATCTCCTTGGGACAGATGGTCGCCCTCCCGGTGATAGAACAAGTTGCCGGACTCGAGGATTGCCGTGTGCCCCCCCTCTCTTCGGACTTCGGATAATTCAATAATATGCAAGCGCAACTTGTTTACCTCTTCTTCCAACTCCAGTATCTTCTCATCAGTCCTCAGGGTGCGTGCGTTATATGTTGTCAGGTCGAGTCGTCGTAGGTGGCAACCGAACCTCTACCGGAGATTCTTAGCACCTCCTGCAGAGATAAACAAGTGCTCCGTAATAAATAAGAATAAAAAAATAGTAAACAATAATTTTACTATTTTTTTATTCTTTAAACATTCACTTTTTGTGATTTTACATGATATGTAATAAAAAGTTTGGACAAGAACAATAAATAATATGTGGCAGCACACCGTTAATAACTTTTTACGATGAACTTTCTAGAAAATATTACACTCCGGCGTACTGGTCGTACTCGCACAAAATCAGACTCGCAAAGCAAAGTAAGTCAATATGATAACGAATTACTAACTCATTCAAAGGACGACACGGCTACTAGTGTCCCAGATATGAGTAAGGATGACTCATATGATCAAGAATTAATAACAAATTTAAAGAAACAAGTTGAGAAATTGACTCTTCAATTAAGTAGTGCTGAGGAAGAAATTGATAATCTTACATTAGAAAACAACAATCTAAAACAGTCAAACGAGGAGCTTCAAAAAATTACCAACAGCCCTGCAAAAAAAATCTAAGAAAAAACTATATACCCCAAAAAAAGAATTGAGGAAACGTGACAAAGCAAACAAACACAAACCGAGCAACTAAATATTACTGAAAAAAAAGACGAATGATAAGGGTTCGCAACCAACTGTTTTGGTTTCTGAGACAGTAGAACAGAAAAAACCGTGGAAAACAGGAATATCTCACTCTGAAAAACAGTACCTGAGAAGAATAAAAAATAGTAAGATATGTATTATTAGTGAAAATAAATATAATAAAATACGCACAATTGCAGAAGGTAAACTTCAAAACTCAGAAATATGTCACCTAAAGCCATACGCTAGAATAAATAATATGATACGTGCCCATAAGAAAATTTACTTTAGATGACTATTGTATCATTTTGATTGGAGAGACAGCCTTCAAAACAACCAAGAAATAATATTGTGGCGACATGCACCTTTTTATTTTGTTTATGTATAGAATGTCGCACACGCCGACGCGATGTTCGTGTCGGTTGCTGTCGGGAATGCTCGGCGACGTTCGGGTCGCTTTCGTGACAGCCCGGCCGTCTTCGATTTTCCCGACAGTCTGCATCATAGATTACTGTGTATATACTAGAGTGTCTGCATTGAAACGGCCTCAGAGTTAGACCCCACGCTTTGCGCCGCCGGAGTAACGGTTGCCGTTCAAATCGCATAAATCTATTTTTGGCTTGCATACTATAAATTCCTTTGTACGTTTCATTAATTCTATTTAGTCTTATAAAAGACTTAGGTGCACTTTACAAGGTAGACACGTATTTCTATGCTCCGGGCTTTTTTAATTGTGAACCAATATAAAAACAAAAGATCATTGTTGTGTTATATATTAAAGTGTAGCTAGTGAACTCAGTAATATAATAGTGAAAATTGTTTATAAAAAGTTTTTCTTACTTCGAAGATATAACGAAAACCATTTTAAAAAATTATACACAACGGACGAATTATGTCATAGTACACTACACTCGCTGCAGCGTACACTTGTGGTGAGTCATTTCTATTATCTCTAACGGCTTTAAGACACACGAGCGAAGCGGACATTTTTACATATAAACAAAGCGGACATTCAATACTGCATTACAATGACAAGAAAATGTACAAAATGCGACAAGATTATTTTTAATAGACAGTTTTTGAAATGTTCTAACTGTAAAAATTTGAATCATCTCACTTGCACGAATATCTCAGAGAAATTGTTTTATTTAATGAAACAGAAGGAAAGTCATAACTGGAACTGTGAAAATTGCAAAATTAAATGTCAAATTACGAATAACCCATCAACATCAGCTGAAATACAGGCAAGTAATACATCTACACCACAAGGCTTTGCTACACGCCGGAGTAAAAATAATGTAAACATTACAAATGCAAACTCTTTTGCATCTCTCTACTCTGAGGTTTCGGAAGATGATGATTTCTCTGTTTCCAAAACACCGAATTTAAACAGAAGCTGTCCCGAAGAAGGTCTTGTTATGAACGAGGTTTTGGATGACCTCAAAATAAAAATAGCTAACTTAGAAAATAAACTCCAAATAGCCGAAACAGAAATAGAAAATTTATTGTTGGAAAATAGCTCTCTAAAAAGACAAATTTTAAACTATGAAAAAAAGACGAAACAACTGACACACATATGTCAAACAACGCCGGTAAGAAGTGCTAGTTTAAGAGGACGCAAGAGCCTAAATAAAAATAAATTTGATTTCACTTGCTTAGACCAAACAAAAGATGAATTTGTTACTCAACCACATAATGAATCAGATGAAAATAAATCATCCAGCCCAAAAAAGACACCGGAGAATGTAAGAAATGGGGATAATACTACTAAATTGCCTGCACAGGAAAGAAAAGACTCCACTGACAATACTATAACAAATGAGACGAAAAAAAAGGTATTAATATTAAGTGATCAAAACGGTAAAGGTTTTCGCAGTTTACTCCAAAATATAATTGATAAAGAATTCCAAGTGACATCTATAGTAAAACCAAATGCTTTTCTATCACAAATTTTAACATATTGTAATACTATATGTAAAGATTTTACTAAATCTGACTATGTTATAATTATAGCGGGTTCAAACGACCGCAACCCACTTAGCTTCAGATCTTCTCTGTATTACCACTTATCCTTACTATCAAACACAAATGTACTAGTTGGTGAAATATTAAACAACAGAATCTTAAATATTGATAAATTAAATGATCAGTTGCGTTTCTTGTGTTCTCAATTTCATCACGCTAGATTCGTACCATTAAACTATGGAGACACAAAGCAACATTATAAGTTATATATGAGTAGACTTATGTTAAGAGAAATACTCAGTGTAGATTACAGAAATAGATTTGTTGATTATAACACCATCAAACCGCAATGTTTAAAACAACCTAACTCAAAAATAGTGCAAAAAGAAATTACACAATACTTCAAAAAAAATAATATCACAAAGACGAATAATGTTACTAATAATAACACAAATATAAGTAAAGTTCAACTAACTATTCCATATATTTTCAACAAAATAAAACTTAAACAAGCTAATGCTACTCTAGGTCCTAACAAAACTATTGAAAGTGAAAAAAATTCAGACTTTTTTCGTAAAGAAAGATGAAAACTGTTTTAATATAATTCACTTAAATGTTCAAAGTATTAAATCAAAAACAGAACAATTGGAATTGCTAATGCTGGAGAAAAACATCCATGTATGTTGTTTCTGTGAAACTTTTTTAAAGAATCACGAAGTTGACATATTTCAAATTGACGGATATAAAAAAGGAGCTCATTTCTGTAGGAAACGTAAAAAGGGAGGCGGTGTTGCCATTTTTGTAAAAAAATCTATTGATTACCACGAACTTCAATGGATATCAGAAATGGCTATAGAAAATCATTTTGAATGTTGTGGTGTGTTAATAAGTGGATTAAACTATTTAATAATATCCGTGTATAGAACACCAAATAGTGACTTGGATGTTTTTTTGATTAATATGGAGTATTTATTAAGAAAAATAACAATACGAACACGAAATTGTTATAAAAATATATTTGTATTAGGTGATTTTAATGTAAATATATTAGAAAATCATAAACAAAGTAAATCGCTACTGAACATGTTTCAGGCTTATAAATTACATCCTACTATTTTGATACCTACCAGAATTACTTCACACTCACAAACATGTATTGATAATATTATGACTAATATGAAACAATATAATGTTAGTGTATTAGATGTTGGGGTATCCGATCATACTTGTCAATTGATAACGATTCCCTCAAACAAAAGCTTTAAGAATAAGTTTTGGTATATTTTTATAAGAAACCCAGACATGTATATAGAGATTTTCTTAAAATACCTATCACAGATTAATTTTACAGATGTTTATTCACAATGTGATCCAAATGACGCGTATACAATATTTTTAGATCAGTTTAGTCTGATTTACGATCTTTGTGTGCCAAATAAAAAAATTAAAATAACATATAAAAAGAGATTAAAGTGGAAAACAAAAGGTATTACGATATCCAGTAGGAACAAAAGACAGTTATATTTAAAGAAACGGTATACAAACTGCCTTGCTGCGAAAAATAGATACAAAAGTTATTGTAAAATTATGAAGGCAGTTACTAAGCAATCAAAAAGAAATGCAAACATTAACTATATAAACCAAAGTAGTAATAAAAGTAAAGCTACGTGGCAAGTTATTAAACAAAATACTACAAAAATGAATAATATTAATGAGACAATAGAAACTATTCAAAAAGATGACATTACAATTAATCAACCTCATGACATAGCTAAATTAATGAATGACTATTATAACAAACTAAATAATCCTATCCAATCTATTGGTGACATAACATTCAAGCCAGTGACTAATCCAAATTTAAATAGCATTTTTATGACCCCTGTAAATATTTCCGAAACTATTAACATTATGAATAATTTAAAGAACAAAAAAAGTATAGGCTACGATAAAATACCGATGAAAGCAATAAAATCAAGTACACATTTAATAGCGGAACCTCTAACGTATATTATAAACTTGACCTTAGAAACAGGAATTTTTCCAAACGAGTTGAAAAAAACACTAATAAAGCCTTTATACAAAAAAGGTGCCAAAAATGACATGAATAATTATAGACCTATTGCTCTATTATCAAATTTTTCAAAAATATTCGAAAAAGTCATAGCAAATAGGTTAATATCATTTTTAGACAAACATAAGATATTAAATGTAAATCAATTTGGGTTTCAAAAAGGGAAGAACACGACGTTGGCTATATTCAAAGTTTTGAAAGATATTTGGAAAGATGTAGATCAAAAAAGGACTTGTGTTGGTCTCTTTTTGGATCTCTCAAAAGCGTTTGAATGTGTTGTTCATAATATATTGATAAAACAGCTTGAACATATAGGCATACGTGGAATAGCCCTAAAATTAATGGAATCTTATTTAACTGACAGAATACAGGCGACAATATTAGATACATTTGACAAAAAAACAAAATCAATAACTCAAGTGCATTCCGATTTCAAAAAATTAATCCTAGGTGTACCGCAAGGTAGCATACTAGGCCCACTGATGTTTTTAATTTACATAAACGAGCTTCCATTAATGATCAATCATCTATGTGTAATGTATGCTGATGATGCTACAATATTCTTATCAAGAGATAAACTAGATGATGCATATTTTGTGAATGAAATTTATAACACACTAAACACAGTAGTCAACTGGCTAACTTCAATTAATTTAAAAGTAAATTTGGGAAAAACAAAACTAATAGAATTTAGGAATTATAGAAAAGCTCCAATTGAATTAAATATTATAATCGACGGTGAAAAAATTGAGAAAGTGCATAACATGAGATTTCTGGGTATCAACATTGATAGTAATTTGAACTGGAAATCACACGTTGAGAAAGTAAACAGTAGGATTTCAAGCAGTTGTTACGCCATATCAATATTGAAAAATGTAGCATCTAGAGATGTAGCAAAAAATTATTACTATGGTCATGTCTATCCACTTCTGACATATGGAATTATATTCTGGGGCAATTCTGTTGACATTCAGTCGACATTTGTTTTGCAAAAAAAAGTGCTTAAGAATTATGTATAATATTAATCAATATGACTCTTTAAGAAATGTATTTATAGATTGTAAATTTCTGACGTTGACTTGTATATACATACTTGAAATTTCTGTGTTTGTCAAAGATAACCGACAACATTTTAATATTAAAAAAGAATCAAAAAAGAACTTACGAACTCAACATGCTTTTGATGTGTGCATTGTTAAATCATCTAGTTACATTTATAGTAAAAGTACTTTAATAAGCGGAATCAGAATCTTTAACCATTTACCTATATACATTAAATCGTTAGAGAGCCCAAGATTTAAAAAAAAGTTAAAAGAATGGTTATTATCAAAATGTTTTTATAATTTGGATGAATTTTTTGGAAGTAATTATTGATTTATTGTAGTGCTTTATTTTATTTTTTATTATATTGTACGTCCGAAATGGACAAACTGTTGTAACTACACTCTGTATTTGTAAGACCTCATGTACACAGTTATGACAATAAATGATTATCTTATCTTATCTTATCTTATCTTATCTTAATTTCTCTTGTTTGGTGCTGTAATATCTGTGTTGCAAACTGTCCTCGTGTAAAAAGAAAACATTATATTCTTTGAAGAGTGAAAGGCGTTTCCATCATTGCCCAGCTTTACCTCCCACAACTGGTGACCCCAAGAAGAACATAGCGTACTAAGAACATCAAAAATGTGGCAAGAGATTAGCACGGACGCAACTAAAAGCAGCACTAGTGGCAGTGAAGCGGTACTTCGCCGAGTAGGCATTAAGATGCCGCCATTTTGGCCCGAGAAACCGACGCCTTGGTTTGCACAGTTGGAATGCCAATTTGCATTAGCGAATATTACATCGGATGTCACAAAATATTATCATGTTATATCGGTGTTAGATCCGAAAATTGCTGCGTAAGTCGAAGATCTAATAATTAGACCACCGGCGAACGAGGAATACGACACACTGAAACGTGAGTTAATTGCCAGATTATCCGCTTCAAGAAGCGAGCAAATTAAGCAGTTGCTCATGAATGAGGAATTGGGAATTGGGTTTTTGATCAGGGTTTCCAAATGAGTTCCTGCGTACCATATGGTCGAGCTGACTACCCAGCTTGCTACAAACTATAGTGGCTATGCAAGATAACCTTCCGCTGGACCAACTCGCCCAATTAGCCGATAAAGTAGCTGAGGCCACGCCCCAAATGTCAGCACTACAAGTAGCTACCACCTCCACTTCATGCTCGCCTCCAGCATTCGAAGACCTAAATCGGAAGATTGGCGTGCTGACCAATGGGGTAGTGGACTACATCCTCTGTCATCTAGGCGAGTGGATGATGGCTGCGGAAAGCCGCATAAGGATAAGAAGGGGTATATTCCAGGGCGACTATCTGAGTCTAATCTGGTTCTGCCTCTCTTTGAACCCTCTCAGCACTTTACTGGAGGGCTCCGAGAGAGGATTTCAGCTTCGGAAAGGAGGTACAAAAGTAACCCATCTTTCTATATGGATGACCTCAAATTATTCACCTCCAGTCACTCCCATCTTATGGAATTGCTAAACATCACTTGTGAATTTAGCAATTCTATTGGAATGGAGCTGGGGACTGATTAGTGTGCGGTCCTCCATGACGAAATGGGAAGGGTAGCTAACTCTGAGGGCATAGACTTATCTATGCCCGTCAACTTAAGGACCCTTTCCGAGGCTGAAACATACCCATACCTGGGTATGTCACAGAGCATCGGAATCAATGAGGCTGGTATGAAATAGTCAGTTTGCGACGTGTTTTATGCACGCTTGACCAAAGTGCTT